GTCGAAAGGAGCCAGTTGAGGTGGTTTGGACATCTGGTGCGGATGCCTCCTGGGCGGCTACCCGGAGAGGTTTTCCGTGCATGTCCTACAGGGAGGAGGCCCCGGGGCAGACCCAGGAGTCGCTGGAGGGATTATATCTCTCAGCTAGCCTGGGAACGCCTCGGTGTCCCCCCCGAGGAGCTGGTAGAGGTAGCTGGGGGGAGGGAGGTTTGGGTGTCTCTCCTGAAGCTGCTACCCCCACGACCCGGACCCCGGATAAGCGGCAGATAATGGATGGATGGATGTATGGATGGAATATTAACGTTTTGGAGTGGCCCAGCCAGATTCCCGACTTGAATCCAATTGAAAATCTGTGGAGGGAGCTAAAGATTAGGGTGATGGCAAAAAGGCCTTCCAACTTCAAAGACTTGAAGCTCATCGCAAAACATGAATAGTCAAAAATAATGGTAGAGACATGCAAAAAGTTTGTCAGTAATTATAAGAAGTGTTTGATTGCTGTAATAGACAATAAAGGCATTTCCATTGACTATTGAGAAGGGTATGAATAATTTTGGACATGCCATTTTCATTAAAATCTAAATAAAACATAAAAAATTACTTTTTGTCATCAATTATACCCTTTGTACATTGTCTTTTGGGATCAGAAAAAAAACTTATTGGTTGAGTAAAAATCACTTTAAATCTAAATCTCTCAGTGGTATGAATAATTTTGGGTTTAAATGTAGGTCAAAAATAAGCGAGGTCTACTCGCTTTTCCCAAAACCCTTTGTTATTTCAGAATTATTGGTTACTTTAAGTAACCAAAATAAAGACCAAAATAAATTAACCTATGTGTTTAAAATATAAAAATGGGCTAAAAATGTTGCTTCCTTGTAAACAAAATGCAATGGTGAGCAGCAATAGGAAAGGGAATACTTCTCAAAAAAAAGCCTTAAAACAACTTGAGGAGGTGGTCAAAATCCATTTTAGTAAATAATTACTGCAATATTTGCAGCATACTGCACATAACAAGAACAGCACACCAACATTCAGGGGGAAATCTTACAGCTCCCAAGATCTTATGTAGGCACCAGAATCACATTTTTCTACATGCCCAAAGCACCTTCTACAGCAGTGTGTATTCTTTGGCATTTGGTGTTAGACCTCTCCTCAGCCATAGTTTGGGGATTCAACACTGGAATCAGCAGGTATTCGCTAAGAGGATACCTGCTGTCTCCCAATAACAAGCCACCAGCAGCACCATCCTTTGCCATCTGACACACTCCAAGGCTGGACCAGATGTGTAGTCCCAGGTCACTTGGTGACAATGTCTGTAAAATGTCCTTGATGGTTGAAAATCACCTGGGGCACGAAAATGTTGCGTACGTCCAGATGTATAAAAACTAAACTTGCCGTACCACTACGCACATTCTCACGGCAGCTCCAGACATGGCGTACGCACGTTTCTGCTCGGTTTTGTAAACGGACAGCACCCAGTGGCAAGTCATTGCTACTGTGGGTTCCCTTTTTAAAGTCACAATCATGACGCTGACTTTATCCAATACACCGACATTAATTGTATGTTGTTTACAAATGTACAGCACCTGATTTTTAATCGATTTGTGACAATAAAACGGTGCACAAAATGACCAAACTATTTGTTGTGACTTGAAATGAATAATTCACCACAACCTTGAAGTAAGTCCAACAACATTTACTTAACAACGACATAAAACAGAAAATCTTCTGGCACAGCCACTGGCTACCGGCTAAGCGTAAAAATCTCCCTCTCCATACGTCACTGCCGGCCCACTGTTTTTAACCCATACAGTGATAATGTGTGAGTGCCATCTACTGGACAACGTATTCCTTACTCTTAACCCCCAAAGCACACAAGAACTCCAGGCTACAGCTACAATATCACATCTCCCCCATCTTTAAGCAAACAACATGTTACTTAGTTAAACAAGATACAGATATCCCAAATACCAAAAACAGAAACTTCCTTAAACTAGGAAGGTATGTCCTTTCAGTGAGATCAGAGCACAGTGTTGCTCTGTTCCAGGAAAAGATCTCACTCTAAGTTACAAAGTCTTTTAGATGCACAGGTGAACGCCTCTCTCTCCCGGAGCGTCGCACCTCAGTAGCCACAGGAGAGCCTGGCAGGACCTGGACCTTTGAAACAGGCCGACAATCAAGCTCTTTTGAAGGATGTTCTTCTGTCGCCACAATCTCTGTAGGCACCGATTCCACAGCACCTCCACCCGTCTCTACCGACAGCCCTAATTCTCTCTCGGGCTCCTGGCTGGGTACTGTGTCAGACCGTCTAGCTCTTACTTGATCCACATGCCTCTTCATGATCTGACCACTTCCAATGATTACTGTGTAGGACACAGGACCTGATGCATCCTGAATGACGGCAGGGACCCATTTAGGACCGTAGGAGTAATTTCTGATGTATACTTCATCTCCGGGTGTGAAAGTTCTCAGTCTCTTGTTTGTGTCATGGATTCGTTTCTGTTTCAGTTGTTTTTCTTGCACCTTTGCTTTCACATCTGGCAGTATCAAATCAAGAACAGATCTGAGTCTCCTTGACAGCATCAACTCTGCAGGAGACAAGCCTGTTGTTGCATGAGGCGTGATGCGATAACTGAACAGGAATCTTGACAGCCTGGTCTGCAGAGTATCACCTCTCATCTTTTTCATCCCCTCCTTAAAAGTTTGGACCGCCCTCTCCACTAGCCCATTAGAAGAAGGGTGGAAAGGTGCTGACCTCACATGACGAATGCCATTTTGCTTCATAAAAGATTCAAATTCAATGCTTGTAAAACACGTCCCATTGTCAGACACTAACATTTTAGGTAGTCCAAAAACACTGAAACTCTGCCGTAGCTTCTCTATGGTAGCCTGAGATGTGGCTGCCTTCACTGGGTAGATGTCTAGCCATTTACTGTGAGCGTCCACTATGAGTAAGAACATCTCCCCTTGGAAAGGACCAGCATAGTCCACATGAATTCTTGACCATGGCGAGTCTGGCCATTCCCATGGGTGTAATGGCGCAGTAGGTGGTGACTTTCGGTGTTTCTGACACTCCTCGCATGACTGCACTTCCCTCTCTACATCTTGGTCCATGTCTGGCCACCATACATATGACCTGGCCAAGCCTTTCATTCGGGACATGCCAGAGTGAGTTTGATGCAACAGCTTCAGTATCTTGTCTCTCCCTTTAGTGGGTACTATAAGCCTAGTACCCCAAAGCACGCATACATCTCTTGCACTCAATTCTAGCCGTCTCTGAAAATAAGGCTTCAGGTGAGAGCCTACCTGGGTAGGCCACCCTTTTAGGACATGATCATGCACTTGGGACAGTATCACATCTGTAACTGTCCAGCGCTTTATCTGACTCGTGTCCAGAAGTGCATCATCCAGAAGATCCATCATCAAGACCTGCTCGTGCGCTTCCTCACGCACAACTTCAGTGACAGGCAGTCTACTCAATGCATCAGCGTTTGCATGATGTTTTCCTGGTCTGTACACTATGTTGTAGTTGTAGGCACTCAAGTGAACAGCCCATCTTTGAACTCTGGGAGATCCCATTTGTGGTATAGGTTTTTTCTCATTGAAAAGTGAGGTCAGTGGCTTGTGATCTGTATAGATGGTAAATGCTCGCCCATACAGGTACTTATGAAATTTTTGAATTCCGAAAAAGACTGCCAACCCTTCCTTATCTAGCTGGGAGTACCTCTTTTCTGTAGGTGACAATGTGCGTGACATAAACCCCAACGGCCGCTCACTTCCATCTTCCATCAGGTGTGATAAAACAGCGCCCACGCCATATGGCGAAGCATCACACGATAGAATCAACTCGCGATCCGCTGAGTAGTGGACTAACACTTGTGCCGAATTCAGTAAGTCTTTAGACTTCTGGAAGGCCTCTTCCTGCTGTACATGCCATTTCCAGCACATATCTTGTCTTAAGAGTTCATGTAGGGGGGCTAACAGTGTTGCCAGGTTGGGTAGAAATTTGTTGCAATAATTCAACAGCCCTAGGTATGATTTGAGTTCTGAGACATTTTTGGGAGTGGGGGCTTCCATAATGCTTTTACTTTCTTTTTCACAGGATGCAGTCCCTTTGCATCCACCCTATGTCCCAAATACTCCACCTCCTCTTGTAGGAACATGCATTTGCTCCTCTTCAAACGCAATCCTGCCTCCTCCAACTTATTCAACACAGTGTCAAGATTTCTCAGGTGCTCTGCCTCATCCAACCCACTGAGAAGTGTGTCATCAAGATACACCGCAACTCGTGGAATTCCTCTTAAAAGTCCCTCAATGGTTCTCTGAAACAACGCTGGGGCTGACGCTACCCCAAAAAGGCAGTCGGTTGTATGTGAATAGTCCCCTGTGGGTATTGATCGTCAAATATTTTTTTGATTCTTTGTCCATGAGTATTTGCTGGTAAGCATGACTCATATCCAATTTAGAAAATTGCTTCCCTCCAGATAAAGCTGCAAAGAGATCTTCTACCTTGGGTATTGGATATTATTCCAATGAAGACACTGTGTTTACAGTAAGTTTGTAGTCTCCGCACAGCCTTACATGTCCATCTGGTTTCAAAATTGGAACAACTGGTGCTGCCCATTCCGACCATTTCACAGGTGTTATTATGTTTTCCTTTAACAGTCTGTCTATCTCTTCATCAACCTTTGCACGCATGGCGTATGGGACTGATCGGGGTCAGAAGAAACGGGGAACTGCATTGTCCTTAACATGAATGGTCGCCTTTGTGCCCTTGAGTGCACCCAATTCCTCTTTGAATACATTCTCATGCTTAATTAACACTTGCTGTAATGTCATGTTCTCTGTCTTGATGTGTTTCATTTTGTCGACTTTATGATTGCCTTTGATTTCTTTCCAATTTAGCTGAATTTGCTCCATCCAGCTACGCCCTAGTAAACGTATTCCTTACTCTTAACCCCCAAAGCACACAAGAACTCCAGGCTACAGCTACGATATCACACTATTACAACTACCATGGCAGCTCTTGCGTTATTGGAAGACATAGCTTATGGAAGAATTAGAAGAGAGCGCGTATTCAGGGATCATAGTGATTTATTGGCCTATGATGATGACTGACTTCTAAGTCAATTCAGATCTCCAAGAGCAATCCTTTTGGAGCTGTGTGCTGAACTGGAGCCAGCATTACAAAGGCAGACGATGAGGAATTGCGCTATACCTGTTCCTTTACAAGTTCTGTCCACTCGCGGGTTCTTATCCGATCGGGTATTTCTCAGTCAACACTGAGTCGCGCCATGCCAGCTGTATGGGACGGCATAATCCGCTTGTCACCCAGATGTATAAAATTTCCTTACACTGTGGTTGAACAGGCAAACATTAAAGCGCAATTTTCAGCGATGTCCGGTTTTCCCAATGTAAACGGAGCCATCGACTGCGCGCACATTGCTACAAAGGCACCTTCAGAGAACGAATTTACTTATGCTTATGTAAATAGAAAGCACTTTCACTCTATTAATGTACAAATTATGTGCAATTCGAACATGCGTCTCATTAATGCATGGGCATCGCTGCCATTAAATCTGAGGGGGCGTGTCTACCTCACATTTGATAATTATGTGTTTGGATCCCCCTACATTTAACATAAAACATTAATTTTATGCCAGTGTGTCCCCTCCCCCCCATTCAAAATGCTTCGGACGCCCCTGCATTAATGTTGTGGCTAGATGGCCTGCCTCAACCCATGATTCATTCATTCTCAGAAACGGTAGTGTTGGAAACAAACTTGAAAATGGGGTGGTACGTGATGGCTGGCTGCTTGGTAAGACTTTTCCCATTTTATAATTTGGCCCAATACTGTAAGCTTTGTTTGATTTAACCATGTGACAACTCTTTAGGCGACTTTGGATACCCACTGAAGTCGTGGCTTCTCACGCCGGTCGCAAACCCACAGAATGAACAGGAGCGGGGTTATAATGCCGACCCCCACCCCCCATTCTCGGGCTCGGGCGGTGGTAGAGTGCACTGTAAGGCAACTTTAAGCTGTTGGTCCTGCCTGGACAAGACCGGTGGGGTGCTGCTATACATGTAGTCCGCAAAAAGTGTGTCGCATTGTATGTGCATGTAGCGTGTTGCATAATCTGGCACAAAATCGTGGCTTGCCGGTACCTGAAGAGCTTAGGCGAGATGAATCTGACCCTGAGCCACCAAATTTTCCGCCAAATGGAACGGCATTACAACTTCAGTATCACACAGTGTATCATTTAGATGTTTTGATCCATTGGCAACATCTTACAGCATTCACGATTTCATTTTGTGAAACGGCCGGATGGTCGCCCCCCGGTTTCTGAGGCACGGGAATGTGTGCAGCCAGCGCCCAAAGATGTGCTCAGCCTTAAAAGTGACTATCCAGAGCATTACATTTTAAAAATTCTTTGCTAAGTTCTGAAACTGAACAACAAAGTGTTATCATTAATTAATTTTAATACAAAAAAAATTTAACGTGTGTGAGTACTTTACGACGCTCATGTAGTAGTTAGTGCTTCCGATGGTCATTTTTAAAACTGCTAATCAAATTGCAACTTTTGAAAATTTTGATTAGCAAAACTGCTAATCAAGTTGAAAATCTTATTTGGAACCCTGACATTATATGTAGTTGTGCGCACAGTGCAACAGAAATGTGATCAATGCACAGATGCAGGACACAGAAGTCTTGCTGAAGCCATGTGCACCTGTAGGTCTGCAGCAATCCACCAGAGGCATCAAAGCAAAGAGCTGTCGGAAACTGCAAAGTGCATTGAGGGGAAAATTCCAGTGTGTTCCTTTTTTCAATTTATCCTGCACCAGACCACGGAGGCTCATTATTTCACCACGGACCAGCCTGCATTTCTCTATGAATTGTTCATTACTGAGATGGTCCAAGGGGTTCATGAACACCTGCAAAAGCAATTTGGCTTCCTGGATGGCACTGTCTCAAA